ACAGAGTGGCAGTTGGGAAGGGAAGGTCGTGAGACAGCTGGAAGCCCATGAGCTTGGGCTGAAACTTGGAGTCTCTGACCTTTAGCAAGGGCCTAGTTGCTCCTGAAAAAGGCTCTGGCTTGACTAAATCAGCCCCAACCAGGAAGAGGCCTCTTTTTGATGAACTCAACATCAACTGACTTGAGACTTTAATTACGTCTATACAATCCCTTCACAGCAAAACCTAGATTAGTGTTTGACTGAATAATTAGGAGGTGTATGTGTGCCACAAATGCCCACTGCCCCCTTCTGCACTCCAGCTCTCAGGAGAGAATTTCCTTGTAGTCTACCCTATCCAGAAACACACTAGAGAGGGAATTCCGGGGAATGTAGTTCAGACTACCTAGGTTGATGCATCATGAAGCATTCTGCTATTCTAAGACAATTTCTCAGGTGGAGAATACAATTCTTAAGACTCTGAAATATGGAAATACGAATTGTATTCTCTCTGGCTTCAATAGTTATAAGGTTTAACTTTCTCCATGAAGTATTTCAGAACTCCTACTATTAAATGAGAATGTCTTATTTCAGAAAATATTCACATTTTTGCTGTATTTTCTTTTTATTAAATATTATACACATTTAATTTAACAAAGTACAACAAAAATAATTCAAATAAGGAATATTTATATTATAGGACCACACTTAAAATCAGGAAACATAACATTTTAGTTTTTGAGACAGAGTCTCACTCCGTTGCGCTGAGTAGAATACCATGGTGTCAGCCTAACTCACAGTGACCTCAAACTCCTGGCTCAAGCAATCCTCCTGCCTCAGCCTCACAAGTAGCTGGGACTACAGGCATGCACCACAACACAGGCTAATTTTTCTATTTTTAGTAGAGATGGGGTCTCACTCTTGTTCAGCCTGGTCTCAAACTCCTGAGCTCAAGCAATCCTCCTGTCTCAGCCTCCATGTGAGTAGGATTACAGACATATGCCACCAAGCCCAGCTAGTTTTTCATTATTAATTTTGTAAAGATGGGGTCTTGCAATGTTGCCTAGGCTGATCTCGAGCTCCTGGCCTGAAGTGATCCTCCCACCTCGGTTCTCAAAGTGCTGGGATTACAGGTGTGAGCCACAGTACTTGAACTCAACAAGTACTTACTGAGCTTCCACGCTATGCCAGGAACTGTCCCAGGGCTAGAAAAACAGTAGTGAACCAATGAAGACCTTTTGTGGTTGATTCTCCCACTTTGTCTTTTCTCAGGCCTGTGCATAATCTAAGTAGAAATACATATTTATAATGTTAGCTATTTCAGCCTCCTAGGGAAAAATCAAAAGTTTAAAAGAAAGCACAGGCCGGGTGTGGAGGCTCATGCCTGTAATCCTAGCACTCTGGGAGGCCAGGCCAAGGTGGGCGGATCACTCAAGGTCAGGAGTATGAAACCAGCCTGAGCAAGAGCAGGACCGTGTCTCTACTAAAAAAATAGAAAGAAATTAGCTGGACAACTAAAAAAAATATATATAAATAAAAACATTAGCTGGGCATGGTGGTGCATGCCTGTAGTTTCAGCTACCAGGGAGGCTGAGGCAGGAGGATCACTTGAGCCCAGGAATTTGAGGTTGCTGTGAGCTAGATTGAAGCCATGGCACTCTAGCCAGGGCAACAGAGTGAGACTCTGTCTCAAATAAATAAATAAATAAATAAATCACAAAAATCCTATTTCTCTGATGCTCTTAGTCTATGTTTTTATTCTCATAGAAAGAAGCTATGGTCATTCCTCCTTCCTAGGCATCTCCAGTTAGACATTATATGGCTTATCCAACATCATGCTTGTCCAAAAAAATAAAGAGAAATATAGACAGCAAACAAACAAAAAAACATACACAATCCAGTAATACAAACATCCAGTAATGCTGTGAAATTTGACCATCAATAGTTTTCCCTTGCCCTTCAGGAACTGAATTTATTTAAGAGTTTATAATTACTTTTAGAAGAGGCCTTATTTTTTAAATATGTAGACTGAAATATTTACAGATGAAATAATGCGAAGTCTAAAATTTTCTTCAAATTAATCTAGGGGAAAGAAAGTGTGCGAGGATATAGAAGAAACAGGATTAGCCTGGAGTTAATAACTATTAAAGATAAATGATACATAGCATTCCTTATACTATTTTGTCTACTTTATAAACGTCTGAAAATATCCATAGTAAAACACCCTTTAAACTATCATATAATGTAGCATAAATTGCATGACTTTCTTCAGTGCTTAGAATCAGAATGTGAATGACAGATAAATTCAGTCTACAGAATAAGAACACTCCCTGCTGCGATGGTCTCTCCGTGGTATTTTCAACTTTCTGAGTAAATAAGAGGAGTTGATTTTAAAAATCAAATCAAAGGTCTCTATAACAATATTTTATTTCTTGTTTCTGTTTGTTTGTTTTTTGTTTTTGAGACAGGGTCTTGCTCTTTTGCCTGGGGTTAGAATATAGTGACGTGATCATAGCTCACTGCAACCTCCAACTTCTGGGCTCAAGTGATCCTCCTGCCTCAGCCTCCCGAGTAACTGGGACTACAGGGTACACACCACCATGCCTGGGTAATTTTTCTATTTTTTTTTTTTTTTTTTTGTAGAGATGGGGTCTGGCCGTGTTGCTCAGACTGGTCTTGAACTCCTGGCTTCAAGCATTCTCCTGCCCAGGTCTCTCACAGTGCTAGGATTACAGGCATGAGCCACCATGGCTGGCTAACAATATTTCATTTGTGATAACATTAAGGATGATGTTCTTGGAATAAATTAAGTAACTAAAAAAGAGAGAGAATGAACAATAAGAAAGAAAAACCTGCAACATCTCAACTGTTTAATTTAGGAAGGAAATAAACAAGTGTTTCATGAGTCAAATTGAACATTTGGTGTCCAAGTAAAAATGAAAACACTCTGTGGATTGAGATCATAGACATAAGACAAACAATATTACTTACCAAATGGAAAATTGGGACTGTGAGTTGTCATACTGCCTGTTTTGAAAGTGCTCTTGCTTGTTGTACTCAGAGACCATACATTTAATAAATGTATTTATGTCATGTGATCCCATAAACACAGACTATAAGAAGAACGCGATTTATGAGACAGTTTCTACACAATAACGAATATCTGATTGGAAAGTTTAAGTTATAATTGATTTTGATGTCTTAGAACATCTGGATTTCTGATGCTTTGCATGCTTCCAAGAAATACTTATTGGATATATATTCTGCTCCAGGCACTGTTTGGGGAGCTGGAAAAACAAGAAACAAAATAGGCAAAATTCCTGCTTTCATACAGCTTATATTCTAACAGAAAAAGTCAGACAATAAACATAGTAAGTTAGAGATATGGGTTGCAGAACAAGATAAAAGAAGAGGGGGTACCAGGGAGAAAACAAGAGAGTGGGGAGAGGCACATGGCAATTCTTCAAAAGGGCTCAGTCTAGAAGAGATGGAAGAGGAAGCAAGACACACTGATGTCAGGGGTGAAGATTATTCCAGGCAGAGAACAGCAAGTACTAAGGTCCTGAGGCGAGAGCACACCTGGGGTGTTAGACAGCACTTGCTGCTTCATCTTGTACTTTTATGTTGTAAATAAGACTTCTTTCCTTAAACCTCACAAACCAAACTCTAGCCAGCTTCAAACTTCTCTCCTGCAGCTTCCTCCCCTCTCAGCCTTCACAGAATTAGAGAGAGTTAGGGCGTTGCTCTGGGTCAGGTTTTGACTTAAGGGAATGTTGGGGCTGGTTTGATCCATCCAGACAACTAAAACTTTATCCTTAGCAGTAGGTCTGTTTTGCTTTTTTATTATTTGTGTGTTCACTGGAGTAGTACTTTTAATTTCTTTCAAGAACTTTTTCTTTAATGCACAACTTGGCTAACTGGTATCAGAGGTCTAGCTTTTGGCCTATCTCAGCTTTTGATACATTTTTGTTACTAAGCTTAATAATTCCAGCTTTTGATTTAAAGGGAGAGATATGAGACTCTTCCTTTCACTTGAGCATCTAGAGGCCGTTGTAGAGTTATTAATTGGCCTAATTTCAATATTGTTTCGTCTCAGGGAATAGGGAGGCCTGAGGACAGGGAGAGAGACAGGAGAACAGCCAGTCAGTGGAACAGTGAGGACATAGACAACATTTATCAATTAAGTTTGCCATCTTATTGGGCACAGTTTGTGGTAGTCCAAAACAATTACCATAGTAATGTCAAAGAGCACAGATCACTACAACAGATAGTAATGAAAAAGTTTGAAATACTGTGAGAATTATCAAAATGTGACACAAGGACATGAAGTGAGTGGGTGCTATTGGAAAAATGGCACCTATACACTTGCTCAACTCAGGGTTGCCACAAATTTTCAATCTGTAAACAACGCAATATCTGCAAAGCGCAATAAAACAAGACATGCCTGTGTATGTATGCGTGTGGGCGCACACACACACACACACACACACACACACACACACACCACTTTTCGGCACCTTAGATTTTCTTTCAACAATGTGCCTTGGTCGTTGTTTCTTTTTTAAACTATTTATACTATTCTATTTTATTGATGTTATTGATGTGCCATTGTTTGTTAAACAGTCATCAAAAGATGTTTACTTAAGTTTTTCTAATCTTTTGCTATTAAAATGAGGCTACAATGACTATTGTATCCACATTGCTTTGTACATGAATTGAATATTTGATCAACAATTCAATGACATGGAAGAATCACATTTAAGGTTCTGTTCAAGCTTTATGTTTTGCTGAGACATCAGAAATTTGTATTTTTTTTTTTTTATTTTTTTTGAGACAGAGTCTCATTTTGTTGCCTTGGCTAGAGTGCTGTGGCATCAGCCTGGCTCACAGCAACCTCATATTCCTGGGCTCAAGCAATCCTCCTGCCTCAGCTTCCCGAGTTGCTGGGACTACAGGCGCTCGCCACCACGCCCGGATAATTTTTTGTTTCTATTTATAGTTGCCCGGCTAATTTCTTTCTTTCTCTTTTTTTTTTTCAGTAGAGACAGGGTCTCACTTTTACTGAGGCTGATCTCGAACTCCTGATATCAAAAGCTTTTAAATTCTTACTGTATAGCACTTTACCTTCTCTTTTCTTCTTTTGTGGATGCCTGGCTCATATAATTGTTTAAATCCTAAGATAGCTTTGACAGATACGAACAAATTGAACATTCCCAGCATCTTTCTTGTTAGCCAATTTTTTTTTTTTTGGATCAGGACACACTATGAATTCAGCTCAAAATATGTGAAAGAAAGAAAGGAAGAAAAATCACCAAGTTCCAAGACTCCAAGGTGTTTTCTGTTGAGTTGCTGTTCTGGGATAGAGCAGACACATGTGGTTTTCCAAGTGTTACTTTTCATATTTAAGAAAATAGAAACACATGAAAACAATTATACCGGAAAAAAAAATCAAGAGAAATTAAGAGAATTTTTAGGATAACATAATGCAACAAAAACACAAGTTTAGAAACATCTTTGAAATTCAAACTAGAATTCTTGGGTTATTTTGAAGTGACTAAAGGCAGGTAGAAAGAAACAAACATATAGGACACCAACAAATCCCACTAATTCCGTTGCTGTTTGATAATGGATAGTTGTGTGTGTGTAAGACTATAATGTTCAAGAAAAATATCAAGCCAACCATTTGTAAACAAATCTCTCTAAGTTCCAAAAGTTTTCTGACAGAAGATCTTACATCATCTCAGAAAGTTCCCAGAACAAGCTAATTAGCTAAAGGCTACGAGGTTACTCTTTAAGCCACATGTTCTGCACGCGTCAGAGTGTTTGCCCCTTGATAGGATCCTCAAAAAGTCAACCTTAGCAGAGGAAGCTTCACCTTTGGGGGTTATTTACGACCTTTCTCCAGGTTCCGACCATGCAGAGGAAAGGAGTCTGATGGACTTCTGGGTTTCACTTGGAAGAAAAAAAAATTTCTCACCGAAGCAGCACCAGCTCTCCTGCCCCTCAGATGAACAAACATGGCCCCATGGGCTCACTCTACCCTGTTGACCTTGGATCTTCACTGCAAGCCATAGTGGCATACTAGGAAGAGCACTTGAGCTGCTAGATGTGCACACAGTTGCTCAGCTTGGGGAGAGGCTGGGCACCTGTTTGCAGGTGGGCACGCATCGCTTATGGTTCACCTCCTGCCACTCCCAGACTAGGATCTTTTCCCCAGGTAGAGGCAAAATACGCAATGCCTGCCTTCTTCCTGCTCCCTTTGTCATTTCCCTTCTTTCCTCATTGCGTTTTTCTGTGACCTCCAACTCCAGCCCTCTCCAGTCTGACATGCTGAACTGGATGCCAGCTTCGGAAACAAACAAATTTTGCCCAAATCTGGCTCTGTCACTGAACCAGTGTGTGAACTTGGGAATGTTATGTTGTTGACTAGCAGAGTTAGCTCCTGTCTCCTCTTCTCATACCCTAAACCAAAAGAACCAAACCCATGTTATTGCAAAAAAAAACAAAAAAAAAACTTAAGCTTGCATACGCATAAAGCAAATAATGGAAATTATTATTGCATAAAGCAATAATAATGCAAAATTATATTTAAGACCCTTATTCGAAGGTTATTTATTGGAAGAGGCATAGGAAATAGGCCATTGTGGGACAAAGATGGGAATGATACTTTCTGTTGCATATCTTTTTAAATTTCTTGTTTTTGAGTTATATGAGTATATTATCTATACAACAAAAGTATAATAAGAGAAATAAATATTTCTGTAGAAAAGATTTACTTTATATATATCAAATCTGATGTTCTATAGATAAAATACTATAATAGGTTTATAGGTTTATTTTGTTTAATATAAATGTTTTGACAAGTAACCTTTTATTGAAATAGTCATAAATATGAAATATAATGAACTGTATCATATTTGAATTATAGTATAAGGCAATAAAAAACTGTATCATTCCAATTCTCCTTCCTTATTTCATCCAATATATAATAAAAATCTCTTAAATAAAATGCTAACATTTGCAGAGCACTTTACAGTTTACAAAGTCCTTCATGCACTCTAATGATGATCTTCCACCCACAGTAGCAGCCAGAGCAGGTATGATTCTTTCACCTTCCAGCTGAGAAAATAGTTCTGACTTGTCCAAGGTCACCGAGCAAGCAAGTGGCAGAATTGAGATATAAATCCAGTTCTTTGGCTCTGAATGATGCTATCATGTTTCTCCTAATTTCAGGCAGAATTCATACATGAACTGCTTAAATTTAGCCTGAGAGAGTGGAAAAAGAAAATCAAAATTTAAATAACTATTCTATTTACACCACCACCATAATCCAAGCATGCTGTATTTTACGGGTTCCATTTCTCTGTTCTTAGATCTCCGGTGTGTTGTCCAGGAACATTTGACACCATCTCAGACTCCAAAGTGGACATATTTGTAGTATCTCCCTACTTTGAATGGAGTTAAGAGTAGAGAGTTGGAAATAGTTGGTTTAGATGGTACATGAAAATCAAACCTTCTCTTACTCTGAAGAGTATCATGAACTAGTACTACTAATGTGAGGTGGCAAGACATGCTACGTAGCACCCTAGAAAAAGAGTATGCTTACATATTTATTTAAGGGAAAATGGTAAATTGCATTTTTATGTGTGCAACATATTCTGAAAAATGTGAAAAAGGAAAATTTACTAAGTTATGTGTTTCCCCCACTCCCACAAACAACTCTCTTTTTAGCGGTAACTAGAGAAAGCTAAACACTTACTTATATCATTTAAATGTTCCATTTTATCTCGTCATCCTCTTTTGGTTGAATATAACTGAGTTTTTTTCATGAGAAAGTCCTGTTTAGCACAATCCAGCTGCAGGGATTAAGCACACGCACTCACACAAACATGCACAGGAGCTATTATTCCATTTCATAGCCTTTGTGTAAGGGCTTTGGGATCAGAAGGACTGGCTCATGCCCTGACCTGGTACTTAATACCCGTGAGACTTGGGGCAAGTAGCTCAACCTTCCTAAAGACTCACTTCCTACCTTAAAATGATGTGACAATCAAGCTAAATAATGTATGAAAGTAAAAGTATATTTCTTGGAACATAGTCTTCATTTACCCATGTATTCGTTCATCATTTGCTCATGCAGCCATGCAACTAAGATTTTTTAGCACCTATCTCATGCAGGCCCTGAACCACGCACTGGAGATATAACAGTGAACAAAACCGACCAACCCTGGCCCCAGAAAGTTTATATTCTCTGAAGGGAGACAGGCAATAATAAATAGAGTTAAAATTTTAGAGTGTCCCTAAGTGCTATTGAAAAAAAAATAATAGGAAAAGAGTTTTAGGGTTGCAATTTTAAGTGATTTGATTAGGGAAGGCTGGGCTAACAATGAAACAATGAAAGTTAGTTGTTATAAGTACTACAGTTGTAATGCATTTGACATTCACCTAGTGTATTTGAGATACTTTGTGAGTAGACTAATGACTGTGACATTATTAATAGCAAACACAAGAGATCATCACACTCACCCATGCATTATGGCCACACTCTGCCTGCTTCTCTGCAAAGAGTTTAAGATCCCGGAATCGATCACTGGCTCCCTAGTAGTAAACACTCAGTTTATGTAAAATGTCATTGCACAACTGATATAAAATTTATAATCATATTATGGCAAAAACTAGCCTGAATTTGAAAAATAAAAAAATAAAATCTATCTACCTATTAAAAATAAATGCTTTCTGTAATGTGGAGTATCAATTTTGCATTCTCTTGACTTGGCAAAGTCCCTTGCTCACAGTCTCTTTTGAAGTAGTGTCACATCTAGGAAAAGTAGGCCTTTGTGCCTGGGTTCAGGATGCAGGGAAAGACATTTTATTACTTTTCAAAAAATAGAATCTTTATCCAGATTCCTTCTATTCTCTTGACCCCATTTGCTCTTGCTTTTATTTCTTACTTTCTTACTTTTTTTCGTACCTTCTCCCTCTTCTTTACCTTGTCTTAGGTTCTTCCTCTTCTTTTTTCAGCTCCTTCTCACTGTAAGCTGTTTAAAGAAAGGAAGCATTTTAACAACAAGTGAGAGCACCTAGGCTCTACAGAATGAGCATCTTCCAGACCAATAGGCTCCCTTTACTCTGGGCAGCTCGAATCATCTGAAAGCTTTGCCCCAATCTCCAATAACAGAGAAGCAGTACCGTGCCCCAGCTGTGGGTCTCCAAGAAACTCACCCTCTCTGACTCTCAGTTTCCTCAACAGAACACAATGACACTTTCTGGTTAAAGCTTGTTTTATCAATTAGAAATAATATGTGAAAGCACTTGCCTCCTTGGCATTGCAAAGCAGCAAGTGCTGAGTGATATAAATGAATGAATATTGCATATTCCAATAAAAATATTAACTTTTTTAAAAAATGGGGCATGGTATATTATAGGCACTAAAAAATGAAAGATATTGTTAACCTCCTTTGCAGGTGTTCTCAATGGTGTTCTCTTTGAGCCCAATTTGTCCTTTCTGTCCTCTCTGGTGTGTCTGTTCTTCTTCTCAGTCTAATATGAGCTTTATTTTTCTCAGCCTCTTTGGGTTACTGAAGCAGCAAGTCCTTTCTTTCTGATTCTAAAGACTCTTATCCAGATCTGAGCATGAACCAGCTGATTATTGTCTTTCTCAGCTAGTTGTTGGCAATGCCAGGGCAGAAACCTGGGCTCCTTCACTATGGGTGTGGGGTTTTTCCTTCATGACACCATATGGCCTCTGAGAGTGGGCGATTGATTTTCATTTAATTGAAATTCTTGTAGAAGATCATTGACAATAGCATTAGCGGTAATCGGCTCTTTTAATTGTCGATAATCCCTCTCTGTTTTTGTGCAGATGTTGTCTTGTTCCTAGGGCAGCTGTGAGTGTGTGAACTCCTCATCAGCGCGATGTGGCCACTGCCCAAATAGTAATCAGCACAGAAACCTTATAAAATTACCAACAGATTACTGCTTCTGCCTGCCAGCACTTTTAATGCCAGCCAATCTGTTTTCATTTTTGTTTGTTTGTTTTTTTCCTTTGGAAGAGGTTGCAATTTCCAGTAAGTCTTTGTGGACTGTGAATGAAAATTTAGGTTCACACCCAGCTGATCTGCTTTGACAAATCAAAAGGCACAAACACGGTATATTTGGAAGAGTGAACAGCAATCTAGAAAACTAGGGATCCCTCTCTCCCTTTCTCTTCCCTTAATGCAAGACAAATCCAATAAAACTCTGTATACCCTCATCATCATGCTGTGTGTGTGAGGGACACCGAAGAAGTAAGTGATACCTCTTGCCCTTCAAGGACAAAGGTGAGAAGTTGGATCACAATGATCATGGGTTAAATAATTCACCAGCACAGAAAAAAACAAAGCTGAAAGTTTCTATTCACAGATACTTCCATCTGTTTTGAAATCCAAAAAGTGAAAGTGACATAACATCTAAGCTAGATGTATTTCCCTAAATGCAAAAGTAAACATCTTAGTCCTATCTCTGCTTGCTGCTATATACTTTCCTAATTTTCTCCCAATGCCTCAAAGACTTCTCTTAGTAGCATTTTATAGATTCTCCAAAGAATCCCTGCTTCTGTGAGGCCACCTAAACCAGGATTCCCTAAAATTGAAACAATGAGATGAGAAACCACAAGAGAGCACCACTGAGTACCACAACAGCTGTCAAATCACCAGAGCTTCATGCTGCCAAAGTGCTCAAGGCCTGAGCTTCTTCAATGCCATCCTGCCTTCCTTCTACCCTGAGGGAACTGTTAGATTTTTAAAAATAGATTTAGCACTATTGCTATCCAAACAGCTACGGACTATTTTCTCTACTCTGTTCTATGTCCTTCCTTTGGATGCATTTTAAAATTCTATTTCAAAAAAATTCAGTCCTGGCCGGACATGGTGGCTCACTCTGGGAGACCGAGGCGAGTTCAGTAGTTTGAGACCAGCCTGAGCAAGAGCAAGATCCTGTCTCTACTAAAAAAATAGAAATAAATTAGCTGTACAACTAAATATATATATATATATATATATATATATATATATATATATATATATATACACACACACAATTAGCCGGGCATGGTGGCGCATGCTGTAGTCCCAGTTACTTGGGAGGCTGAGGCAGGAGGATTGCTTGAGCCCAGGAGTTTGAGGTTGCTGTGAGCTAGGCTGATGCCACACGGCATTCTAGCCCAGGCAACAGAGTGAGACTCTGTCTCAAAAAAAAAAAAAAAAAAATTCAGTCCCAGAGGACGCATGAATTTTTAAAGATTTAGATTAATTTTGTTTTATCTATGGATTTTTTGATTTTATTTATTTTATTTTTTGATTTTATTTTTAATTGACACATAATAATTATAGATATTTAAAGAGTGCAGAGTGATATTTTGACACACATATACAATGTGTAGTGATCAAATGAAATCAGGGTAATTAACAAATCTATCACCACAAACCTTTATCATTTCTTCATGTTGGGAACATTCGAAATCCTCTCTTTTAGCTTTTTGGAAATATGCAGTAAATTGTTAATTATAGTCACCCTCCAGTGCTGTGGAGCAGCGGTCCCCAACCTTTTTGGCACCAGTTTCATGGAAGACAATTTTTCCATGGACAAGGCGGTCGGCAGGAGTGGGTGGAACATGTAGCTCAGACAGTGATGAGCAATGGGGAGCAGCTGTAAATACAGATGAAGCTTCACCAACTTGCCTGCCACTCACCTCCTGCTGTGCTGCCTGGTTCCTAAGTTTCATGGATGTGGGGGGTGAGAGGCAGAGCTCTGTGACCCAGTTCCTAACATGCCACAGACCAATGCCCATCCTCGGCTCAAGGGTTGGGGACCACAGCCATAGAGCACTAGAACTCACTCCTCCTATAGAGCTGTAATTTAGTACCTGTTAACCAACACATTCTCCATCCCCAACACACACACTTTTCTCAGCTCTAGTAACTACTATTCCACTCTCCACTTCTATGAAATCAACTTTTTTGCCTCTACGTATGAGTAAGAACATGCAGTATTTGTCTTTCTGTGCCTGGCTTATTTCACTTAACATGATGTCCTCTAAGTTCTTCATTTTAACCAAACAACATGTCTTGGTATATAATGTGAATCTAGATTGAGCAGGTCAACTTTAATTTCAACACCATGGAGTTTGGAAAAAGCCCTAGAAGCTGCTAAGAAAAGTTTTTTAAAGAGCCTGGGGCAAGTGCCTTTACCTCTATTAACTCTTCTACCATGAGATGCCATTCCCATCACAGTGGAGCCACAAGGCAGCCTGTCCTTAACAAGACGAAGGATGGGCAAATTAAATGATCTTCGGAGTCCCTTTAAGCTAAATTTAATCATGTGACAATGAGATACTCTAGTATTTCTCTATATATTCTTCACATTTGCTTTCTAAAATGTCAGTCTTTACATATGTCTATTTTTAATACATGTTCTAGATTAAATTTGGTTTTAAAATAGTTTTGAGTTTCAATTTGTGTGCTACCTTATATAATAAAATTAAACGATAAATATTTAAAATGTTAATGGGTTTTAAAACTTTACAAACCCTATGAAAATGAAAATCTTTTAACTCACCAGGCATGCCATATGCACAGTGATCTAAACTGAGATTGCTAACAAATTTAGGTGGATTATTAGATGTCAAATACTGTTGCTTTTCCATTGTAATTCAAATGGAATGAGTGGAGCTTAGACTTCGCCATAAACACTGCTATAGAGTGAACCTCCCTGTAAAAATCACTGGTCTTGGAACTCAACCAAGGGAGCTTAGGTACTGAATTGCTAACGAGAGACACCCAGTGAAGTGATTCTCCCTGTTAAGTGGCCCTAACTACTAGAATCCAGCTCTTTTGCTTTGGGCAATAGTATATTTATGTCAAATCACTATACTTCATATCCAATCAAAAGGATACAGGGAAGCTTCAAAGTTTACTAAATGCCATCTTGATTGACAGCAAGTAGCTTTTCCTTTCTTTACAATTTCCAACTCAACAGTGTCTCACAGCACAATGTACCAGGAAGTCTACAAACTTGAAGCTAAGCCTTTCCTGCTATAAATTAAGCCTGTTTCCTTGTTGGTATAAACAAAATGCTTAATTATCTCTCTTCTCTTTCACAATCCCTTCATAGAATCCAAGATTCTTTAGTTTTTCTATTCCTTTCCACCTCTAGAAAAAGGCATCGTTTTAAAACTTCCACCATTTTTATGGTTCATAGTTCTAGAGTCTATACCTTACTTAAAAACTGGGCAAAGTACTGAAGTCTGCAAGCTTACTATGTGCCAGGCAATGTTTAAAATACCATGATTTGCATATATTAGTATCTCATTTAATCTTCACAGTAACCTCAAAAAGTAGTTCTGTTATCCTCATTTTATAGGTGAGTAACTTGATGCTAAGAGAGTCTAGGTAAATTGCCCAAGGTCATGCCGCCGGGATTCAGCAAGGAGGAACTTCTGTGCATAACCATTGCTCTGCGCTCCAGCCTCTATGTTGGCTGCTCGTTTGGTAGCCCAGTTCCTAAACACTGATGACATACATTTACTTTAAGAACATTCCTACGAGAAGTAGCATTACTGTACATCTAAAAGCAAGCTTGCCAATGGAACACACTCAAGGAATTATGAGAAAGAAATTATGCTCTAAACATACCTAAACCAGCACAATCACCTGCCAGGCCACTCCCACTGTGCTTTGTGTTTTGAGGGGTTTCTTTTTGCACAAATGGCACATTTGATATTCAACTCCCTTTTTATGTTGAATACATTGAATTTCATTTATAAGATACTGTTTATACAGCATTTAAAATGAACTAAAAGTAAAGATTATATAGAAAACATAGAAAATTTTAGACTAGAATTGGCAGTAAATTGAAAAGTAAAGTAAATTGAAAAGTAAAATAACAATCGATAAAATCACACGTAAAAATGATATATTATTCTGAATTTTTCATAACAGACTAGAAGTCTCCTTAGGAACAATTTTTTACATATTATAGTCTCCCTAATCACTGCATGGTA